ATTGTTGTTTGGCGGGTCCGGGCTGGGGATTCGAACCCGCCACCTTAGGTGTACGTGGCTGGCGCCTTAGCAGGTTGAGCTATAGGCGCCGAGCCATCATGAGATAATCTTAAAAGTGTTCCTAAATAATTTGAGAGTATTTGCTGATAAGATACCTCATCATTTCCACATACATACTCGTGTATTTCTTATAAACAAGGACATTCTTTCTTCCTTTCTTTTTTTTTTTTTTTTGTAGAGACAGTCTCACTTTATCACCCTCAATAGAGTGCTGTGGTGTCACAGCTCACAGCAACCTCTAACTCCTGGGCTTAGGTGATTTTCTTGCCTCAGCCTCCAAGTAGCTGGGACTACAGGTGCCTGCCACAATGCCTGGCTATTTTTTTGTTGCAGTTTGGCCAGGGCTGGATTTGAACACACTGCCCTCAGTACATGGGGCCCTACCGAATGAGCCACAGGTGCTGCCCTAAACAAGGACATTCTTCAACTGACCACAATATAACCATCAAAAACAGAAAATGCATGTAGATGTGTTACTTTTTAATTTTTAGTAATTGTTAAGTTTTGTATACAGTTCACTCTTCAAGTTTTGCTACTGATGTTCTTTATAGAAAAGGATCCACTTCAGAACCACTCGTTGTACCTACTTGTTGTCTCTTTAGTCTCCTTCAGTTTGTACCTGTTTCCTGGACTTTCACTGATTTTCATGACCTTGGTGACTTTGAAGATTACAGGCCACTTATTTTTTAGAGTGTCCCTTAGTTTGCCTTTGTCTGATATTTCTCTGTGATTAGATTTAGGTCATCTGGCAGAGATACCACAAGAGCGCTGCTGTGTTCTCTAATTAGAGTATCAGCTGGCTGATTATTGATAATATTCAGTGTGGTCACTTGATTAAGGTGGTGTCTAATAGGTTTTTCTACTGAAAGGTTACTCCTTTGTGTAAGTAATGGGTATTTTGTACTGTGTTTTTACATATTCTCTTCCCCCATCAAACTGTTTTATCTTTGGACTCATTGTTTCTTACATATTCATTGAATGTTAGTCCATTCTCTTTATTTTGATGTTTAAATCTTCCCAGATTGACCATTGGGAGTTCCTTCCAGGAAGTTTCAGTGTCTTTATTTTTTTTTTCTAGTTTTTGGCCGGGGCTGGGTTTGAACCCGCTACCTCTGGTATATGGGGCCAGCGCCATATACCTTCTTTGAGCCACAGGTGCTGCCCAGTTTCAGTGTCTTTTTGACATTTCAGATATTGTGTGAGTTCTTCTTTCCTTCTGCTGCCAGATGCTCAAGGCTTATCTTGTACTTTCTGCCCCAGCCCCATATTTACCCCTTTCTCCAAAAAGCTGTTTCCTTTTGGTATTTAGAAATCAGGTTCCAGGCTCATTGCTCTCGGGGTATGTCTGTTCCTGGGTCCTCTCAGTGGACAAAGATAGGAAATAGATGTATAAATTTATGTCTGTATTATTTTATGTGTGTATCTTTCCATATAGAAATCATAAGCTCATACTAGTACCTCTACTGTCTTTGTAGTCCTTCAGAGTTCATTATAGTTTTCTCAACTATAATGAGAGAAAATGAGAGTCGGCTCTCTCTCCCTTTTTTTTTTTTTTTTTTTGGTAACTCTCTTATCTTGAATATATTTACTTATCAATTCCCTGTGTACAACTAAGGTCCCATCACTACTGCCCCCTCCCCATGCAGCTCCTGTCCTCAGTGTGCTCACCCTCAGGCTCCCTATGCTAGGCTCCTACCTGGGTTCAGACCTTCTGCTCTAGGGCACCATGCCCCTTTCTCACCCTCGGCATGGATGCATTTCATTGTTGAGTATTGAATTGTTCCCAAAGAGGAAGAAATATTTTACTTCTTTGTTTTTTTGAATAGTGTTTTTCAATTTGATTTTGTTTCATTGTTTTATGCTTAGTTTTCTGAAAAGATTTTCTGAGCTTCTTAAAAAGTGAAACTATGTCTTCCACATTTTGTTCCCTCATAGTTATTATGTGCTGTCCATGTATCAGGCCATTTTTGTTACTCTGGTTAGACTGACCTTTTTTTGATGTGTATGTTTATGTCTCTTTAAAGAGCTGGAAAAGGCACGGCATCGAAGCATTGGAAAGCCTTTACTTGGGGGCCCTTTTTCCCTCACAACTCATACAGGAGAACCTACAACTGATAAGGACTACCTGGGACAGTGGGTACTAATTTATTTTGGTTTCACTCATTGCCCTGATATCTGTCCAGAAGAACTAGAAAAAATGATTCAAGTTGTGGATGAAATAGGTAAGAAGCCATCACTAACTTCAAAGTATATGTTCACTTAATGTTACTACATGTTTTCACATTCTCATATTTCTTTTGGGTGGAGTGTTATAATTATTTCTTTGCAAGAGCGTACGCACTCAGCATTTGGCCTGTTTGTTTTGATTACTGAGACTGTATTCTCCACTAAAGGAAATTTGTTTTGACGCTAAATGTTAGATCACTCAAAAATGTCATAGTTCGAGTCTCCCTTAACTCTGCTTTTGCATCCCTTCCTATACTGTATAGCCTTTCATCACAGACACTGGCATTGCGTTTTTCCCCAGTGACTGTGATGGTTAATCAAGGAAATCTGTAGAAATGGTCTGCAGTCAGTAGCATTTTGTCAATAAGAAGACAGGGTGCCTCCTTCTTAATGAAGTGTTTCAGGATTTTCATTTCTTATTAATAGTTTACCTTGCCCTTGTGATATGGTGGGAGGGAAAAAACTGGCAACGTTGGATTGAATTAGGATGTAAGATCACCACATGATATGATGTGGGGTAGCAGCATTTAAGTACTGGTGGAGGTGTTAGACAGGATATGTATCTGATTTCACCACAGATAGTACTCCTATGGATCTGCTTTTCCTAGCGGCCATCCTGTCCCTTTCCTTGTGCTTTCAACCTGAATAGTAAGATGTCCCTCTGTGTTTCCTTACAACCTCCCTGTAGCTCTTAATACACTCTCCCGTCTTGGCTGGTTTCCTTTGTCTTTTCCCTTAAGGTATGAATACTGACTGATCGGAACTTCCTTTCAGATGATATTCCATCTCTGCCAAATTTAACTCCACTTTTCATCACCATTGACCCGGAGAGGGACACAAAAGAAGCCATCGCAAATTATGTGAAAGGTATGTCTTCTTATTAATTCTTTACACCTATTTAATTCTTAGAATTTTTGAAATATCAGTTCATTTGTACCCCACAGTGCCTTGTAAAGCAGGACAAATGATGTTGTAACCAGTTTTATAGGCAGATGAAAAGATGAAGCTCTGAATTGTTGCTTGGCTAGTCAGTACATAACTAAGAAATATGGAACAGATGAAAATTCTCCATTATAACACATAAGTCATATCTTTTTATGACTATCAGTAGAAATCTGGAGGGAATGCTTTCTAATTATTTAAATCACGTTCTTAATGTAGTTTTAAGAAAATACTTGTAGTTCTGAGATACAGTAAGGTTTAAAAGTATCATGAAGTAACTACTATAGTTTTTCATTGCTCAGATAAGAAAGTTATTATAGCAGTTATTTAAAAGTTCAGGGCTAAGAGTAAATCATTCATAGCATCTATCTGCTGTTATGTTTTTGGAGTCTATGTAACCAAGCTGGTAAAAGTCACTTAAAACAACAGGATTTATAAGACTACTGAAATGATAGCTCAACATTTGACAGCAGTTCCTTCCTCCAAAGGTATGGAAGCCTGTTTTTATTTCTCATTCGAAACTGAAAAATTGTTTGGGCTCTGAACAGGCAGGATGGCTTGCCTTTGTTACCTTTACTCTGTGAATGAAACTTGATACAGCTATGCATCTGAACTTTTTTTAAACAATTACTGAAATTGAAGTATTTTTCTAAATGCCAACTTTAATTATTTTTAAATCCTCCCAAAATGCAACTAATAATGATTGTATCCTCAATCACTGTATGTAAGTGGTGTTGAAGGATATTACCAGGAGAAGCTGGGCACGGTGGCTCACACCTATAATCCCAGCACTTGGGAGGCCACAGTGGGCGGATCGCCTGCACTCACAGGTTCGAGACTAGCCTGAGCTAGAATGAGACCCAGTCTCTAAAAATAGCCAGGTGTTGTGGCAGGCACCTGTACTGAGGGTGACATAGTGAGACTCTGATTCAAAAAAAAGAAAAAGTAAAAGAATATTACCATGAAGCTTTGGTATTTCAGACGAGATTGGGTGCGTTCAGGGTGATATGGCTGTAAACGAGGTTTTGATATTTCAGTTAGATATAGCAACTCAAATATCTACTCATTTGGGAATATTATGGTTTGGTCAATAAATAATAAAAATAATTGCCATTGTAACACCTTTTTAAATTGAAGATTGTGTATAAGCCACTGAGTTCATTGGTAAATGACTATGCTGTTGCCCAAGTTGCTGACAAACTTGCACACTGTGGACATAATTTCTGCTTAAATATTTATAATAGCAACCAAACTTCAAGAAGAAAATGGAAACCTTTGTCACCTTAGGTTAAGCAAAGATTTCTTATATTACCAAACCAAGAGACCAAGTTGATACATTTGGACTTCATCAAAATTGAAAACTGGTCTTTGAAGGGCTCTATTAAGAGATTGAAATGACAAGCCATACACTAGCAGAGAACGTTTGCAAATCATATGCCTAACTTTTACCTAGAGTATAAATTACATATATAGGTAGGTGTATATACACACACATACATTCTGAAACAAAGGACCCCATAAGAAATGGGCAGAAGATATGACCACTTTGTTATAGCCATACAGATGGCAAATAAGAGCATGAAAAGATGATTGACATTAATAGTCATTATGAAAAGGGATATTAAAACTATAATGAGATAATCACTAAACACCTATTAGAGTGGCTAACGTAAAAGAGTGATTATACTAAGTGTGGTGAGGATGGGAGGAGTTGTATTCTGCTGGTTGGGATACACAAAATGTACAGCCACTTTGGGAACCATTTTGTCAACCTCTTAAGCATATACCTGCTATATGATCTAGCAGTACAGTCCTAGGTGTTCATTCAAAAGAAATGAAAGCATGTGTCTACACAAAAACTTTTTATGTGAATGCTCTTAGCAGCTTTATTTGTAATATCTAATAAGTGGAAAATAACCCAAGTGTCCATCATTGGACATATTTACAGCCAGCTGTTTACCAACAGAGGTACAAAGGACATATGCTGGGAAAAGGATGGTCTCTTCAGTAAATGGCTCTGGGAGATGTGTATATCCATATGCAGAAGAATCAAGATCAGACCCTTATCTCTCACTGTGAACAAAAGTCAGCTCAAAATTCATTAAAGCCATAAGTGTAAAACCTGAAACTACTAGAAGAAAACACGGGAAAAGCCTTAAAAGTATAAAGTATCTTAGGTGGAAGTTGACAAATGGTTTTATATAAAACTAAAAAGCTTCTGCACAGTAAAACAGTCAACAGAGTGAAGAAACAACCTGCAGAATGGGAAAGATATTTGCAAACTATTCATTTGATAAATGATAATAGGGATTTATATACAGAATATGAGGTTAGTCAGTTAAGTTCATGAAGTCATCCTAGGAAAAGTGCCGCATACCTCATTGCTGAGTATCACTCCATTCCCCTCGGAAGTACTCCGTTAAGGCTATTAGATTGTACTGCTAGATGGCAGTGATATTCAGCAGCCAAGAATGTATCATATTTCTAGGATGAGTTTGTGAACTTAATTATCAAACCTAGTATGACGCAGCTTTCCTCATGGTCAGTCCAGGAAAAGAATGAGTTCCAAAATTGCTCTGAAGGATGGACTAGGTGCTGCTGTCAGCGCAAACCTTCTCAAGGGGTATACCTGGCAGGTGACTGTAGTGATATTTAGCAGTGAGGTATGCAACACTTTTTCTAGGATGAGTTTGTGAACTTAATTGACCTCATGTATAAGGAACTCATACTTCTCAACTGCAAAACTGAAATAATCCAAATATTTCTCAAAAGAAGGCATTCGGTGGCCAAAGGCATGAAAAAGTACTTGAAATCTCTAGTCAGAGTAATGTGAGTCAAAAGAGGGCTAAGAAGCCCAAAGGAGCCTAGAAAGTTAGCAAGGGCTTTGGGTTTGGCTGTGGTGTTTGGGGCTGTGTCCTGAGGCTAAGGGACATTTTCTTTTTAACATGGTAGTGCAGTGTGTGAGTAAAAATTCCTTGGCTATAAGGAATAGAAATAAGCTGAAAGTTGCATAAGTGAAAGGATGGAATTATAAGTATTCACAGGAATTTGATGACTCCTAAGAGCAGCACTAGGTCTCAGGAAAAGCCTGGATTCGTGGTCTGGAAATTCGGAGGAAAGCCAAGAGTCATCTCTGTTTCTTATCTGTTGTGGGTCTGCTTCATTATTTTCTCTTTCTCTGTTTGAAGCTTTAATTTCTTCTGTAAAGACAGGCAAATTATGGTTTTATCTGGAGGACATTATACTAAGTGAAAGTAGCCAGGCAGAGAAAGATAAATATGACACGATTCACTTATTTACTTATTCCTTCCTTATATACTGTTGATGAGTATCTGAATTAGTGCTGCCATATGGAGAACAGTATAGAAGTTCTTTAGTGTATCTCAGAACTACATGTATTTTTTTTAACTAAATTAATTAAAAATATGCTCTCAAATAATTTGAAAGTATTCTCTGCAGATCTTTACTAGATTACATTAAAGGACTTACATGTTACAAAAGAGAATTTTCATTTGTTCTATATGAATTCTTTTTCTTTGCACAGTGATTCCTGCCTGTAACCCCAGCACTTGGTAGGCTGAGGCGGGTGGATTGCCTGAGTTCAGGAGTTCAAGACCCGCCTGAGCAAGAGCAAGACCCCTCTCTTAAAAACAGCCAGGCGTTGTGGCAGGCACCTCCCAGCTACATAAGGCTGAGGCAAGATGGATCGCTTGAACTCAAGAGTTTGAGGTTGGCTCAGCGCCTGTGGCTCAAGCGGCTAAGGCGCCAGCCATGTACACCTAAGGTGGCGGGTTCGAATCCCCAGCCCGGGCCCCCCAAACAACAATGATGGCTGCAACCAAAAAAAAAAAAAAAAAAATGGCCGGGCGTTGTGGCGGGCACCTGTAGTCCCAGCTACTTGGGAGGCTAAGGCAGGAAACTCGCTTGAGCCCAGGAGTTGGAGGTTGCTGTGATGCCATGGCACTCTACCCAGGGGGATAGCTTGAGGCTCCATCTCAAAAAAAAAGAATTTGAGGTTGCTGTGAGCACCATAGCACTCTACTGAGGGTGACAAAGTGAGACTCTGTCTCGAAAAAAAAGATTATTTTTCTTTGAATCATGAAGAAATGTCTGGAGACTCATTACAGGAAGAAAGGGGAACTAGAACTACTCTATTGGCTACATTATCAGCTACAACTGATGATATTTTCTGAAGTAGACATTTTTGTTTACTGGGCTTCTTACTTTTGACTGTTTTTCTCATTTTTTATTTAGAATTTTCTCCCAAACTGATTGGCTTGACTGGCACAAAAGAAGAAATTGATCAGGTGGCCCGTGCATATAGGGTGTATTATAGCCCTGGTCCAAAGGATGAAGATGATGACTACATTGTAAGTAAATGCTCAGGTAACCCATGCCCAGCTCCCAGAGCCCAAATATTCGTAGAGCTTTAAATGACTGACTGGCTTCTGAGATGAAAGAAAACCTAAGATTATTGCAAATTCCTTAGGAGTTGGGGTATTTAAAAGGGTAATGGAAGCATATTTTTTAAATTTATGTTCCCAGAATTTAATTGCCTGTTTTTCTCTTCTGGTAACATATAACATTATAGGGCAATATAAAATCAGATACTTGGTACTATGCTGGAAATAAAGAGGAGCTGTCATTGGGGGGCAAAGTTTATTTTAGTTTAAAAACATTGTATTGGTTCTTTCTGTTTCCCTAGTGAAGAGATAAAAGAAATTGCCCATTTTTTTTTTTTTTTTTTGAGACAGAGTCTTACTCTGTCTCCCTAGCTAGAGTGCTGTGGCATCATAGCTCACAGCAGCCTCAAAGTCTTAGGCTTAAGTGATCCTCTTGTCTCAGCCTCCTGAGTAGCTGGGATTATAGGCACCTATCACAATGCCCACCTAGTTTTTCTATTTTTAGTAGAGATGGCATGTTGCTCGTGCTCAGATTGGTTTTGAACTCTTGAGCTCAAGCAGTTCACCTCCCTTGGCCTCCCATAGTGCTAGGATTACAGGTGTGAGCCACTGCCCCCAGTCAGAAATTTCTCCTTTTGAGAAGCAATTTTAGGCCATAAAGAACTGCAATTTTAGAGTGAATAAGAATTCTGAAAAGGAAGAGAAAAGATGAAAGCTATTGGAAGATAGACTTTCTGTATTTCATATCAGTTATATGTCTTATACGGATGAAGAGTTCACATTGTACCTTAGTATAATTTCAGGTTTTTTCCTGTTAATTGTCATATCTGGTTTTTCTTTAATATTGTTTGGGCCAAGTATTTAATCCTTGAGAGGCTTTCCAGCTGCAGAGCTGGTTTTGTGAAAAGAAAAATGTTCAGGACCCTGAATCACTGATCTACTAGCTCTCTGTGGCCTGTTCCAAGTGTGCTGTGCAGAGGAGACGTCTCACTATGGTACTTGGTCTCTACATTCCACTGTGATTTCTCTGTCACCTTTGAACCTGGAGATACTATGTGTCCCTGTAGCCTGTGGTATAAACTGAAAGCAGGCTTCTGGCTCCTTTGCCTTAATTCAGCCCACACAGTAATCTTATTTTCTAGTCTGCCATCTCATAGAGTTAGGGAAACTTAGAGTCACTGGGAAAAAAGACAAGAGGAATCAAACATTTTTCCTTAAGCCCTAATTCTAAAGCAAATAGAGGGACTGTCCTTTAGTTTCTTCTTAAACATAAGCAGCATGAGCAGGGTAAGGGAAGACCAAGGGCACAGTGGCCAAGAGAGGAAGCCAAGGAAAAAGAACTTTTTTTTTTTTTGAGACAGAGCCTCAAACTGTCCCCCTGGGTAGAGTGCCATGGCATAGCTCACAGCAACCTCCAACTCCTGGGCTCAAGCAAGTCTCCTGCTTCTGCCTCCCAAGTTGCTGGGACCACAGGCGCCCGCCACAACGCCTGGCTATTTTTTTTCAGTTGCAGCCATCATTGTTGTTTGGCGGCCAGGGCTGGATTCGAACCCGCCACCTTAGGTGTATGTGGCTGGCGCCTTAGCCACTTGAGCCACAGGCGCTGAGCCGAAAAAGAACTTTCCATACTTCTTTCCTTTTACTATAGAAAGTTGTATTAACTGGTTTTGAATTTAACTGATGATGACCTAATCCATCTGACTTCCAACATTAAATGAATTTTATTAAATTATTTAAATGTATCCATTCCTAAACTAGGTAACACTCCCTAGTCTTTACCCGTGAAGTTAAGAAATTTTACAAATAAAACCGACAGCCTATAAAACTTCAATTTTAAGACAAATTTAGTTAAAGCGAGGAGTCATTTTGCTGAAGCCAAAGTGCTGCTCACAAGAATGGGGTTTGGCCCAACTGTAGTTAGCTGCCCTTCTGTGTTTTTCTACTTAAAATACTTTGAAACCTTTGATTGTATAGTCTGCCTTGACTGGTTGGTATTGACTTGGCAAGAACGTGTTGTGTTCCTATTATTTGCCTATAACCAGAGGTGCACAGCTACTCACAAATAAACAAACAGGTTTGGTCACTGAAATTTATACTCACAATGCAGATAATCCAGAATACAGATAGTAATTTTTTTAATCTTATAAATTAAAATGCAGATATATAAGTTTTATGGAAACTTTTTGGTTTAAAATTTATACTTCTTGGTATAAAATTCTTGTTATAGAATATATGCTAGGCCCCATTTTGAGAAGTACCATAAGAATTTGGTAAGTATCAATGAGCAATTCATTGCTATACATTTGTGGAATCAACCAATAGGGGGTGACATTCTCTAGCTTCTTAGGTTTTTCATTAGCATGATTTCTATCCCTTGAGGTCACAGATTTTTATCTGCAAGATGGTTTGGAAAACTTTAGTTAAGATTTAAGGACATGCAAAGAGTGAGAGAGTGCTTTAAAGGTTATTTGTGAGATATAATGGATTGAGTTTTTCTAAATCTCAAAAAGCAGAAAGAAAAGGTAAATTTCTGCTTTTGAATGGAATCTTCAGACTAATAATATATATAAACTGAGTATGCCAAACATTTGGGATTCCATACAAAGCTAAATTTGCCCATTATTGCATTTACTGTATGTATAAAATGATATTATGTCAAGTATTAATTAGAAAATACTTCTGAAAAAAGAACACAAATAGCTTTCAAACCTAATAAGAGAAGTTTAGTTTCATAATAAAGGAAATGTGGATTGTATAATGAGATGCCATTTTTCACCTACTAGTTTAGCAGTTATCAGCAATGTCAAAATTGGAAAAACAGGAAATACACTGTTGGAGTGAATTTAGAACAGGTACTTCCGTGCATTGTTGATTAGAATTAGACTGTTACATGCACCCTCTGCAGAGAGCCATTTGGCAGTATCTCTCAACATTTACAGTGAAATGCTTTTTTAGGTCAGAAATTTTACTTTTTGGAATTTGTCCTACAGTTATACTCTGAAGTATTGTTTATAACAAGAAAAGACTGGAAACCAACAAACCATTTTTTAAAGAAACTATATACTGATTTAGAAAAATGTCCAATATGTTGTTAACTGAGAAAACAAGTACTGTATATAGCATATTGTTACTTGTGGATGAAAAGAAGTGGGTGGTGGATATGTGCATACAATAGTGAGTGCAGAGACGTTCTCTGGAAGAATAAAGAAGGAACTGTTGGCAGTGGTGGTCCCTCTAGGAGAACTGAGGGACTTTGGGGGTCCAGAATGGAAGGAAGCCTTTCCTTGTACATGTTTACTAAATTTTTTTTTACATGCATGTATTGCCTTTTCACAAAATAAAAACTTATTCTAAAAAAACTTACACATTTAGAAAAACTTAGTTGCTCTCCAGTATAATTAGAAATAATGGCAACATGGTGATGAAAGATTGTAGACTTTGAAATTAGACACAGTCCAGGTTTTAAGGTTAGGTGTGATATTTACTAATTGTATAACTTATTCTCTAGCCTGTTGTATCATTTTTCCGGGAAGAGCATACCTGGCTGGTGACACATGAAAGAACTTGTCAATAAACGCTAGTTTCCTTTTTCTATTCTAGGAAGTACTAGAACTTGGAAGATCATTATATTAGAATAAATGTCAGTCTGCTCTGCCCACAACCCAGATGAGTATTGAGAAGTAACCACTGACTAGTTTGACAGATAGAGATAGAACAATATTTTTATATTTTTATTGTGCACTAGAAAGTAATTTATATTAAGAACACTCAGAAAATAATTCCACACACTGTAATTCTATTTCTTAAGGGAAAGAGAATAGAAAAAAGGAAAAAGGTATAAGTTACAGTGTAAGGCTTGAAGAGAGAACTGGAGACTTCATTCTGATTTCTTTATCACATGTGGAGAAGGGTAGATCCTCTCTGTTGTTCCTGTAGTAAGTTATTTCTTGACACATGAAATCATCAGCTGTTTGAACTCTTGTGTGCATTCTTTCCTTATTTGGGTAGGCAAGAGACTTCTTCCATTTACTGTCCCCCTTATGAATATATGTGCATAAAAAAGTAATCACCTCACAGACATAGAATGGTGCGTGGGTATATTTGGGGCAGTATCTCCAGTTTGGTATGTCTGAGCATGTGTCTGTCTTTTTGTCTTGCCAAGCAGTAATCAAGCCTGCAGTAAATTCCAAAGACTCTAAGTGACAGATCTGCTTATTTAAAATTGTATTTTGTGGAAGCATCTAGCTAAAAAAATTGATGACTATTCTAAAAACTTTGCTGGGAAAATGGATAATGCATTTAAGATGACTCCTTGGGGCATAGCATTTACGGCCGCTGAGGATTTGCCTTTTGGGTGCTTTGCTTTAGTTAGGATTGTTCAGTGTAGTATATCAAAATCTCCTTGAGGAGAAACATCTTTTCCAGTTTTTTGTTCCTGTTACTAATAAGGATTAAATAGTGTATTAGGATTTACAGATTATTTAATTAAACCAGTGGTTAGTTTTCTGAGTTCTTTGCATAAAACATGGTAGGCAGAATTTAGGCAGTAATGAAAGACAACCAGTTATCCCTAAAACTTAAAAGAATAAACCTAAGAACTACTAAAGAAGATAATTTTTCACCAACACTTTTAATTCCATGTGATACCTCTTTGTAATATGGTTAAGAGATCAGATGAGATATTTTACTCAAAATGAAATTATTTTCAAGCATGCATTGCTATTCCACAAGCACTGACTATTTTATGAAGTCTTGCAGCTGCCGTTTCTTAGAACATGGATTCTTTTCTCAGAGAGTGTGTAGATGAGTATGTTAACAGAATTCCAAGGTCTAGCTGATATTATGTGCAGTAGCCAGTGCAAATTTCTGAACCACAAAAGATTTTATACCATCATTGCAAATATGCTGTGATAAGCTTAGGCCTTTTCCATAAATAATAGATACTACAAAGGTTATTTAAGCATTAATGTAAACTCTTATCCTGCGGCATTTATTCAGTCAATTTTGCAGCTTATTTTGGTAATCTTTTTGTTATACCTCCCCCTTTTCTCTACAGGTGGATCATACAATAATAATGTACTTGATTGGACCAGATGGTGTGTTTCTAGATTATTTTGGCCAGAACAAGAAGAATGGAGAAATAGCTGGTTTAATTGCTGCACACATGAGGGAACACAGGAAAAAGAGCTAGCCAAACCAGCACTGCAGGATGCAGTATTCTCTTGCTGAAGAGGAAGGAAGCTTTGTCTCCCATAGGAGCCAACATATATATGCAACCTACAGGATGACCTTTGTACTATGAGAACATCTCCATTTTGGATGGGATGTTAACCTTGGGTTGAGCCAAAATAGATTCTTGGAAATGTAAAAATTATCACCTGAAGTCTTCCAAGTAGCTTTGGTAAGACCAGATTAAAGTGCAGTGAAGAGCGGGCCTTGAGGAAGGCACAGCAGGGAGCGGCACAGCCAGTGCTTTTCCCCTGGTGAACAGGCCCCCAGACAGCTTCCCTCCCTCTCCAGTGTGTTGGACCATGCTCATACAGGTGATGGGACTGAATTGTGCAGAAAAGAATGTAATTCCCATAGTGCTTTAGCTTTCCTCTTCTTGAATTCTTTGCTCTTAAGTTCCTGGTAGCTGAAAACAGTCAAGTTACAATGGGTTCTCTGCCATTCAGAGTTAATCTTTATACTTGAAAGTTTAAGTTTTGTCTTCCTTGTTCATGAATATCATTGTCAGGTTTGCCTTTATGCCCTGTCAGCAGGTACTGATTTGATTAACGAAGGGGAAATCTATTGTTTGGAGAAAACCTTTAGTCCACTTTCAGTAGGGGTCTTTAAGTTTTAAGTAAATGTGCCCAATTTTCAATGACAAACCAAATGGAAATAAGAAGATACTGATTATAAGTGTGATACAGAGTATTTTTTTGCATATAGGAGATTGCACTGCGTGTAAAATAAAGGTGTATTTGGTTTTGTAACTCAAGCGAGCATGGCCGTTCTTTTTTTTTTTTTTG